TCCTCCTCCTCCTCCTCCTCCTCCTCCTCCTCTTCTTCTTCTTCTTCTTCTTCTTCTTTTCCTTCTTTTTCTTCTTCTTCTTAGTTTGTTTTATTTTTTGAGACAGGGTTTCTCTGTGTAGCCCTGGCTGTCCTGGAACTCGATCTGTAGAACAGGCTGGCCTTGAACTCAGAGATACACCTGCTTCTGTCTCCGCAGTCTACTTAAATTTCTTTAATTCTTTATTAATTACACTTTATTCACTTTGTAGCCCCCCTGTGGTTCCTTTCTTCCTCCCGTCCCAATCCCTCCCTATTTCAATTTCTTATGATGATTTTTGTGTGTGTGATATTGAAAATGGAACTCAAGGTCTTTTGGTGGATGAGTGGGCAGGGTCTCACTGTGCAGTCCTGGCTGGCTCAGAACACACTGTGTAGACCAGGGTCGCCTTGAACTCACAGAGATCTATGGGCCTCTGCCTCCTGAGTGCTAGGATTAAAAACATATACCCATATATTGGTAAACCCGATGTTTCAAACATACAAAGCAAACACTCCACCACTGAGCTGCTACATCCCAGATGAAGTTTAAAATTTTTTTCCTGTTGTGCTGAAATGTTCTTTTCAATCATAACATAATAGTATTGGGCTGGACATGTTGAGCGCTTGCCTGGCATTGGTGATGCCCTGGGTTCCATATCCAGCATTGCCAAAACAGGAAAGGAGGGAAAGGGAGAGAGAAAAGACTGATAATGATTCTTAAGTATAAATAAAATTTTAGCTAGAAGTAAAAGGCCAAGCCCTGGTACGTATATCCAAGAGAACTGGGAAACAAACAAACAAACAAACAAACAAAAAAACGTAATGCAGAAAACTGAACATGGCCAGGCAGTGGCAGAGTCCTTTAGTCCTAGAACTCGGGAGGCAGAGACAGACTGATCTGAGTTTGAGGCTAGACTGGTGGTGTATGGAGCAAGTGCCAGAACAGCCAAGGGTACACAGAGAAAGAAGAGAGAAAGAAAGAAAGAAAGAAAGAAAGAAAGAAAGAAAGAAAGAAAGAAAGAAAGAAAGAAAGAAAGAAAGAAAGAAGGAAAGAAAGAAAGAGGGAGGGAGGGAGGGAGGGAGGGAGGGAGGGAGGAAGGAAGGAAGGAAGGAAGGAAGGAAGGAAGGAAGGAAAAAAAGAAAGAAACCAAAAAGAAAAGAAGACAACATGAGTGCTCTCGGAAGCGTCCTTCACGACAGTCACAGACGGGAACCCCCCCAGCAGATGAGCTTATAGACATAGGCTGTCAGTGTGGTGAAACAGAACTCAGCTGTGAAAAACAACGACATTTAGTGTCTGCTGCGCCATGAATGAGCCTGAAAAGATGTTTCGCTAAGTGAAAGAAATCAGACATATAGTGTATGATTGCGCTCACGGGAGATATCCCAAACAGGTAAAAGCCCAGAGTCAGGAAGACAGCTGGGGCCCGCTCTTGAGAGAGACCTGAGTATTGGAGGGCAGCCTGAATTACACAGTAAGACCCAGTCTCGGAGAGAAAGGGATGGAAAGGTGGTGGCACGGGTACAGCCTTGCTGCTCAAGCGTGGGGAGCTGAGCTCTGCCCCTAGTACCACATAAAAGAGCAGAACATGGCAGTGTGTGGCTTTAAGCCCAGCCATGTGCGGACAGAGACAGGAGGGTGCCTGGGGCTTGCTGGCCAGCCAGTCAGCCTACTCAGCAGCTCCAGCTTCATATGAGACCCTGCCTCAAAACACAAGGTGGCACATGGTACAAGAAGACACCTGGATATTGACCTCTGAACTCCAGACTTGCACGCATATGCATGTGTGGACATGCAAGTAAATCAAAGAAGACGGGGCTGGGCACGGCGGTCCACACCTTTAATCCCAGCACTCAGGGAAAAGAGGTTGGCAGTTCTCTGTGACTTTAAAGCCAGCCTGGGCTACATAGGTAGTCCCAGGCCGGCCAGGGCTACGTGGTGAGACTGTCTCGAACTACAGAACAAAAGAGCTGGGGGGACACTGCGGTGGCTGAGGCAGGAGAGTGGGAGTTTGAAGAGCCTGAATCAAGCAATGCGATGCTGGGAAGGAAGGAGAGAATAAAGAGGAGAGGGAGGGGAAGAGAGAGGGAGGGGAGGGGGAAGGGAAAGGAGCAGGAAGGGGAAGAGAGGGGAGAAACTGAGTGGGTGCAGGGCGCCAGCCATAGCAATCAGGAGGTTGGTAGACTGGTGTTTGTGCTTTACTCTTGGGGACTGTCCTATGTTTGCAGAGATTTTTATCTACGGTGCTGGGAATGGAGCTCTGGACTTCAGGCTTGCTGCATGGGCACTCTACCAACGAGCTGTGTCCCCAAGCCCTTCCATCTCAGAGAAACACTTCCCTGACTGAGCCACTTCCCCGGCCCTCGTCCTCTGGGTTCACTTTCTAGAACGCAGTATCAATTGACGCCACACTAGGAGCTGGCCTCACCCTGCATCAGCTGCCGGTGCCCCTGGATGACCTGCCGGCACAGCAGCCGGTGCTGGTGGTAGCGCTGGATCACGAAGTCCTTCTGGCCCAGCAGGTTCTTGCGGCACAGGTTGTCAGCCTGCAGCTCTGTGTTCTCTACCTCCAGCTCGTGGGCCCTGCACAGCAGCTGCAGCACCTCCCGCTGGTCCTTGTTTGTCACCTGCCTGGGCAGCAGTTTCTCCATCTGTGAGGCCTTCTTCTTGGCATGGGCCAGACGCTGCTCTAGCCCGGCCTGAGGGAGACAAGGAGAGCTCAGGGCAGGCACTGACGCCGGTTAGTTATTCTCGTGAGACATGTGGCAATCAGCCCTAGGAATGGATGAGCCACAGTGAGGCCTATACTGATAAGGTCCATTTGACAGGACCTAGGAGACACATGTGAGCAATAATGTGAACTAAGTAGCTTTTGGCCGTGCCCAGAGAGGGATTATGTTAATTGAGTTATCTGAGGTGGGAAAACTCACCCCTAAATGTGGACCACACCATTCCCTGGACTGAATAAAAAGAAGAAAGAGAGCTGAGCACTAACATCCATCTGCCTCTGCTTCCTGACTGTGGATACAACGTGACCTCCTGCCGCCATGTCTTTCCACCATGATGGACTGTGGACCCTCAGACCGTGAGCCAAATAAACCTTTCTTTCCATAAGTGGCTTAGCCCCATCCCTGGGACTAACCACATCTTCTGCCTTCAAAATTCTGATGTTTTAACCTATGTATGGAGCCTTGCTGACCCTGGAGGGACCAAGCCAGCTTCTGGATATGGCAAGCAACTCACCCGAGAGCTTGTTTTTCAAGTGCAAATTCATCTGTGCAGAGCCCACTCCTCAGAGAGAAAGCTAACCTCTCAGCTGCCCTAATCACCCTGAGCAAATGCCAGGCAGCCAGGGTCAGAGCTGGGGCACTGGAACTCCCCGAGGGTCGAAACAGAGTACAATGAATGTACTCCTCTGAATCCTAGTCTGTGTAGCCCCGCCCTACAGCAAGCAGCCGCCCTTCCGCAGGATCCCTGATAAAGGCAAGGACAAAGTATGTATAGACACAGAACCTTCCCAGAGCTGGCTCTGTCTCTGCAGGAGGCTATCTGAGCCTGTGGTCACCTCTGTTACTTTAGTGCTCTGCTTTGGCTCAAAACTCAAGTGTGCAGGAATTCTGCTATAGTCTCTGAGCCATGTAATACAGGAGATCTGGGGCTGGAGAGATGGCCCAGCCGTTACTGCTCTTACAGAGGACGTGAGTTCTGTCCCCAGCACCCATACCGGCTGAATCACAACTACCTGTTACTCTAGCTCCCTAGGATCTGATGTCCTCTTCTGGTCACCTCAGAAACTGGCACTCAGATGCACACACACACACACACATACACCTGCCCATATATATATATATATATGTGTGTGTGTGTGTGTGTGTGTATACACACACACAAAAATAAAAATTTAAAATATTTTGGTACATAAAATGAAATAGGAGCTTGGTAGACAAGATGTTGGCAACTTTATAGAAAGTGCAGCCATCCCGTAGGCTACACCTCCTGAGAAACCCCTAACAAACTCATTTCATTCCTCAAGCGGAACTTGAGTGAATCTTCCTTCTCTCCTTCCCCCTCCTCTTCTCCCCCTCCTTCTTTTTAACCCAGAGTCTCACATAGCCCAGGCTGGCCTCAGACTCACTATGTATGAGGATGACCTTGAACTCCCGATTCTCCTGCTTCCAGGGTGCTGGAATCACAGGTGTACACCACCAGGAGTCCAGTTGCTTCGATGCTGGAGATGGAACCTGGGGCTCTGTGCAGGCCAGACCAGAGCTCTACCAACTGAAGCCATCCCCAGCCCTGAGATAAGTCACAGGCTCTGATGCTGCTCTGGTTTGGGGACAACTGTCAACTTCATATCTCCCCAGAGAGGCAAGCTTTTCAACACAGCAGATCTGCCCCCTTCCTGCAGAAACCACCACCTTCCCCACCCACTTCTCCTATCTCCTGAACCCACCTGGTCTTCTGGGGGGCTGTGTGGGGTGTGGAATGGCAGACCCTCCTACTGGGAACTGTGAGTGGCAAACTGCCTTTCCACACCAGGAAACAGCCACCCACCCCCCACCACGGTGTGGGCCACACTCTGGGTCCTGATTCCCTCAAGCAGCACTCGAGGGGCTGCAAGGAGTGCTCAGGCCCAGGATGTCTGTCGAAGGCTTCCTGAACTGCTCACCTGTATAAAATGAGCCTTAGCCTGGTTCTGTCCACCCACCAGGCAAGCCCCAGCTCTGGACACAGCTATGGATATACGCTTGTTTCCATATGTGTCTGACACACAAGGGTGTGTGTGTGTGTGTGTGTGTGTGTGTGTGTACATGCACACACATACACTTGAAGCCAGCTACGCCTATAAAACAGCTTCCAAACTGGACGCAGTAGCACAGGCCTATAATCCCAGCACTCAGCGAGGCAGAGACAGGTGGATCTCTGTGAGTTCCAGGCCAGCCTGGTCTACAAAGCGAGTCCAGGTTAGCCAAGGTTACACAGATAAACCCTGTCTTGATAAAACCAAAAGCCAAAACAAAAACAAACCCAAACAAAACAAAACAGCCCCCCAGCAACTTGTGTCCCTTCATCCTAGAATGAGCTCAGGTGACTCAGCGAAGAAATTATCAATCCACTCGACCAACTCTCCAAGACCCCCAGAGAATCACATGGGGCACAGGCTGCCCTGCACTCCCAGAGTCTTGGTCCCCAAGGAATGGGCAGATAACAATGAAGAGATGCGTCCTTTGTTAACTTATCCTTTCCACAATAAATAGATAAGTGGAGGATTAGCCAGGAAGTTGTAGTCACTGCAGATTAATCAAAAGGGGGGTTAACAAAGCTGACACAAGCCAAGAAGCTCCTTAGAATCAATGGTGTGGAAATTGATGAGAAAGAGAAAATGTTAATTTGTCACTGAGCTGGCAGAGACGCAGAGGAACAATTTGGCTTGTTTTTCCTTCTGATGATCTGGAATTGATTGCATTCCTTTCCTCCCAATTCCCGTCCAAGCAGCCTCCCTAAAATTTTTCCCAATTCCTTTCTATCAAGCCTCCCTCAGCAACCCCTGAAAACCTCCTAACTCCCCTCCATCCAGCCTTCCCTCTGTGCTCCCCAACTCCACTGGGACTGCCCTGAAGCTCTCTCCCATTTCCCTCCACGCAGCCTCTTGAGTTCCCCTCACCTCCCTAGCTGAACAAATGGTCCCTACCTGCCTACTGCAAATGGAGCCTCCTCTGCAGGCCCCAGACTGACAGGCTGGCCACTGCAGGCTCCTGACTGACAGGCCCTTCACTGCCAGCTCTGTCCCATGCTGATATCTAAATTTCCCCTTGAGGTTCATGCTGTTTAGTTGATGCACATCACCGATTCAGACAGGATGAATCTATCTTATTTTTGTTAGTTTTTGTGGTGGTGATGGTGCACGCCTTTAAGCCCAGCACTTGGGAGGCAGACGCAGGTGGATCTCTGAGTTGGAGGCCAGCCTGGTCTATGGGATAAGTTCCAGGACATCCAGCATTACACAGAAAAACCCTGTCTTGAAAAAACAAAAACCAAACAAAGCTGTGAAAACCTAATCACTGATTTGAAGTGAGGCGGTGTGAGCCTAGACTGCCGTGGCCGGGTGTGCAGACACGAAGGGCCTCTTGCTTCGGTTACATAGCTGTTAAGAGAACTTAAAAGCCTCCTGCTTTTAACAACTGCACATCGCTGGACAATTTTCCCACTTTCTGGAGACACACCCACCAGCATTTAGCTAATGAGCCAGTTCCTGGCATCGCTGGCCTTTCCCCAAAGCTTCCTCAAGGAAGAGTTTTGTAATTTTCTTAAACTGAGTTTACTCACTAACCAGCTATTATACAAACAGCTCATATAAAGAGCCAGCTCTTTTTTTTTCCCCCAAAGACAAGCTGATCAAGGTTGACCTTGAACTTCTGTGGATTTTTTGTTTTGTTTTGTTTTGTTTTGTTTTGTTTTGTTTTTCAAGACAGGGATTCTCTGTGTAACCCTGGCTGTCCTGGAACTCAGTCTGTAGGCCAGGCTGGCCTTGAACTCACAGATATTTGCCTGCTTGTGCATCCCAAGTTCTGGGATAAAAGGTTTGTGCCACCACCAGGCCAAATCTTTGCTTCTGATCCTCCTGCCTCTATTTCCCCTAGTGCTGGGATTCCAGGTGTCCGGCACCACACCTGGTACTGGGAATGGACATCTGGACTTACTAAGCAAACCCCGAGTGGCTGTGCTCTGTCCCAGCACCGGACAAAGTGTCTGAGCCCAAGACTCAGCGGCCGCGAGCACATAGCTAGCTGTGTCTTACGGGACGAGCAGGGACTCTCCAAGGTTGCCTGGCTCAGATATAAGCTCCATTCCCGTGACTGAGCGCTGCGTCCCTCTCCCTCACCTTGAGGGCTGCTGTTTTCCGCTGCTCAGCCAACAGCAGGTTCACCTCCTCTCTGGCCAGAGCCACCTCCGGGGGCTCTGAAGCCTCAACCTCCTCTCTGTCAGCATCTGCTGTCTCCTCGTCCTTCTCACCGTCAGCGTCCCCTGGCTCCTCCTCCTTCTCACCGCTGACCACGTTAGTGTGGTGATGGGCCTTTTCCCGTTCCCAGCTGCAGCCAGGACACAGGAAGCAGGGGTCAATTGTGCCTGAGCTGAGAGTTCTGCATCTCACACCCAGCGCTCTCCAGGCCTGCTAGCCTCCCCACAGGCATGGGATAGTGATGGAGAGGAATCGGGTCTCCCCATGGTCTTTTATACATATATAGCCCTCTGGCCCACCAGAGCCAGCATGGCTACCTCCTGTGGACATGTGCCTCTCTGGTCCTTGCTGTCCTCAGGGGACAGCTGTGTGACTGGGGACACTAGGGGGAGAGTGGCTGGGCTCTACCAGTAAGGATAGTGCATTGGGCCTAAACAGGATCTCTGGGGACTGGGTCAGAAAGGAAGAATGGGGAAGCCTCAGCAAGCAGATGCCTGGCCAGAAAGGAGCAAGCCACTGTGACTAACTCCAGTGTAAGGACCGTGCTGTTTGTGTAATTGAAGAGAGAGGAGGAACGTGAGGAGGAGGATGACAAGGCCGGTGACAAAGGGTGGTGATGGACACTTGTCATCCCGACACTCAGGAGGCTGAAGCAGGAAGATCACAGGTTCAAAGCTGGCCAGGCTGAGTTATACAGCAAGACTTGTTCCAAACAAAAAGGGTGAGGGGAAGAAGGAAGGAGGAGGAAGGTGAGGAGAAAGGAAATGGAAGGGAAGGAGAAAGAAGAGGGAGAGGAAGGGAAGGAGAAAAGAAGTAGAAAAGTAAGGAAGGGATAAAGGTAAAGTAAAGAAGGAAGGGGAGAAGAAGAGAGCAATTGTGGGAGAATCAGGAGTAGAGAGTGAGGGAAGGCAACAGGCTTGAGTGACAGTGCTCTTTGAAGTCACCCCTAAGTGGGCAGCCCGTGTCCAGGTTTCTCCAGGACAACTGGAGGGACACCCGCTGTCCTAGCGTAATAATTACAGGTGCCCGTCTCACCTGCAGGCGCACCCCAGCTACTCCCTGCACAGGGTCACTCTGCCTTCAGAGCAGAAATACATATGTGTATGTGGACAGTGGGAGAGAGATTGTGTTAACATTTCCTGATCCTCCGGTCTGGCTCTGGACCCAGAAGTGACTCCCACGTGGCCCAGCTTACCTCACATGACGGGAGAGAAACAGAGACAGGGGACCTGCCTTCTCGGGGACCCGCAGATGGCAGCCAGCAGCCTCCTCTGTTCCTCGGCTTCCCTCCCCTTTGGGGACGTGCTGTGCCTAGGCAGGACACTCACTCTGCGATGGTCAGCAGGTGGCGAGACATGTCTATGTGCAGCTCAATGCTGGTATTCTCCAGCTCCACCAGGCTGCGCCGCATCTCCTGCTGCTCCTTGAAAGCCCCGATAAGCTGGGCCCGGATCTTGTTCATCTGCAGACGACTGTCCTCCTCTGCATCCTGGGGGGCTGTGACTGCAGGTGAGAACAGGGGTGGCTGGACTAGGCCCACTGCCAGCCTCGTAAGCATGAACTCCACGCTCACCTACCAAAACGGGTCATGGCCCATGGACATGTGTGGATGGAGGGAGGATGGGAAGGGTTGGTCTGTGGGTAGGAGGACATATTGATGAGTGGTGGGCAAGTAATTGAATGGCGGTAGATTGATAAACGGATGGATTTTTGTGAGGACAGATGGATATGTAGATGAGTGGATGGATGGATATGTGGGTAGGTGGACACATGAATGGGTGCATGGATGAGTGGGTAAGTGCGTAGCTGGATGGATATGTAGGTGGGTGGGTGGGTGGATGGGTGGATGGATAGATAAGTGGGCAGAGGGATGAAGGAATGGGGAGATGGGTGGGTAGATGAATGTGTATTTGATGGGTAGCTGGATGGGTGGGGAGAGAGGTGGGTGATAGATGGATGTATGAGTGGATGGGTAAATGGATGGATGTATATGAGAGTGGATGGATGGATGGATGGATGGATGACGCATGGATGTGTAGCTGAGCAGTTGGATGGGTGGTATACAGATGAATAAACGGAATATGGGTATATGTACTGGTCTCACTCCTCTTTGAAAACCTCATCTTCATAAACCAAAGAACATGTGAATGTTATGTGCGCATATGTCTAATGGACTTCACTTTGGTACGTATGTCCTTTAGGGGTAGAGGCTTGTGTGTGTATTCTGTGTACATGTTGATGTGTGTCTGTGTGTGCATGCATGCAGTCACAAGTGCCTACGACTGTGGAGGCCAGAGGTCAACGTCAGGAGTCTTTCCAAGTCTCTCTCCACTGTATGTTTTGAGGCCGTCGCTCACTGATCCTGGCTAGAGTAGATGGCTGGCCAGTGCCAGGAATCCTCCAGACCCTTCCCTTACCCAGAGCTGGGGTTGGAGACGCCAGTACCACTCCTGGATTTTGTTTTGTTTTGGGACAGGGTTTCTCTGTGTAGCCCGGGCAGTCCTGGACTCGATCTGTAGACCAGGCTGGCCTCCAGCTCACAGAGATCCACCTTCCTCTGCCTCCGGAGTGCTGGGATTGAAGGCATGCATCACCATGCCTGGCCCGCTGTACCTGGCTTTGATGTGGGTGCTGAGGATCCTATCTCAAAAACTGGCATGGAGCCAGGCATGGTGACTCAAGCCTTTAATCCCAGCACTCAGGAGGTAGAGGCAGGCGGATCTCTGTGAGTTAGAAGCCAGTCTGGTCTACAGAGTGAGTCCAGAGCAGCCAGGGCTACACAGAGAAACCCTGTCTCAACAAAAACAAACAAACAGCAGCAAAAACAAAAAGCTAGTATGGGGGCTGGAGAGAGGGCTAAGCATTTAAGAGCACTGGCTGTTCTTTAGAGGACCCAGGTTTTACTGCCAATATTCATATGGCGGCTCACAACTACCTGTGAGCCCAGTCCCAGGATCTGTCTCCCTCTTCTGACTCCTTGAACACTGCACACATGCGGGGCACAGACATACATTCAGACAGAACACCAACACATAAAATAAAATTTAAAAAAAAATTAAAATTTAATTAAAAAAATAAGAGCTAGATGTAGGAGGCACAAACCTTTATTCCAGCATTCAGGAGGTAGAGGCAGGAGGTTTTCTGTGAGTTCAGAGCCAGCCTGGTCTAAATAATGAATTCCAGACAATCCAGGGGTACACAGTAAGATCCTGTCTCAAAAAGAAAAACAAACAAACAAGCAACACAGAAAAAGCACTAAGGAAGCAGAGACAGGCAAATCTCTGTGAGTTTGAGGCCACCTTGGTCTACAGAGTGAATTCTAGGACAGCCAAGGCTACACTTTCATCCCAGCACTTGGGATGTAGAGGCAGCAAATCTCTGTGAGATGGAGTCCAGCCTGGTCTACAGAGCAGGACAGCCAGGGCTACTCAGTGAGACCCTGTCTCAAAACAACATAAAATAGTCTAGTCCCTGTATCTGGTATCTGGTCTAGTCCTGTATCTGGTGAAGAAACTGGAGTTTCTTCAGTTGAGGTTCCCAGGGAAATAGGAACAATAGCTGCTGGCAGGGCCACTGGGCCACTGTGGATCATCAGAGTGGCCAAGGCCAGGAGCTTGGCCAGGAAAGCAATGGGCCCATAGAACCTGGATCTTGGTCATGGAGCTCTAGGGAGGAGGGGGCACTCGGCCATTGGGGCCTGCGGGAGGCACAGCCCTGAGCAGCACTACCTTGTATGTCCAGAACGCTGGGGCCACTCTTCTCCTTGTCCTGCCTCTCAATCTTGGACTTGAGGTGCTCGATCTCCCTGCGCAGGTCCGAGATGACATCAGTGTACTGCGCAATGCGGTAGGACACGTTCAGCAGGTTGCGCTTGACCTGACGATGAGGACAAGTGCCCAAGGTCAGGCGTGGCAAGAAGCATCCTGAAGGACAGACTTGAGAGACGCCATGGCGTTCAAAACTATCAGGGGTGGGGCGATCAGCTCCATCAGCTGGATACTGCTTATACTCGCTCTAGGAAGAGAGGCTCAAAGAGGGATTATCTATCCCGGGGCTGGGCTGTGGCCATGTCTGTGGGGGAGTGTCTTAATTAAGTTAATTGATGGTATCCACAGTGGGCAGCACCATTCCCTAGGTGGGGGTAGGGGGCGTGTCCTAAACCACATAAGAATAGAGAAACTGAGCTGAGCATGAACAAGCAAGCAGGACACAAGATCAGTTCCTCTCTTTGCCTTGATTTTCCCGCTGTGATGGACTGTAACTTGGAAATGTGAGTCAAAATGAGCCCTTCTTTCTCTCCGTTGTTTGTGTCAGGGTGTTTTAGCACAGCAGCAAAACTGAAACAAGAAACATGGATGGGGGAACCCTGCGACATTGCTATCTACGAATGTGTTGGGCCACATCCCGGATGTGTGTGGCCATGGGGAGGGTGCAGGTTGGACACAAGTCACTGTTATTCATCCTCAAAAAGGGAAGGGTATTCTGACACCTGCCGCATCACAGGAGAACTCAGAGAGCACTGAGCTCAGTGTATTCAACCAGACACAAAAGAAAAATCCTGGGTAAATCCTGGCTTCTCCGCGGCCTCCGGAGGAAGGAGAGAACAGAGTGGTGGAGCCAGGGCACGGGAAGAGTCGTTCTTTGATGGAGACGGAGTTTTGGTCTGGTGAGCTGTGAACAGCCAGCACACGCTGGCTACCCCAAGGCTACCGTGTCGTGGACTCACAGTGATTAAAATGGAAATTTGGGTGACCGAAGAGATGACTCAATGGGTCAAGGCGACTGACCCAGAACCTACATGGTGGGAGGAGAAGAGCTGACCCCCACAAGTTGTCCCCTGACTGCCATATGCTTGCCATGACACGCTTATGCATACACATCTATACACATACTAAACAGAAATGGGATAAAAAAGTTACCAAATGAGAATTTTTGTTCCATGTATCTCTTACCATAATAAAAGATTTTAATAATCTGTCAGGTTTTTTTTTTTCTTTTAGAAAATCTTCCCACTGGGAACTATTGACACATTGATTCTGTGTGTAAGGGAAGATCCGTGTTTATATGGGTGTACACGTGTGTGCTTGTGCATAGAGCTAAGGAATCAACTTCAGAGCCAGGCGCGGTGGTGCACGCCTGTAATCCCAGCACTCTGGAAGGCAACTCACCAACTAACCAAGCAAACGGAAATCAACTTCAGGTGCCATTTTTTAGGATTCTGTCTTGTTCTTAAATCTTAATCCACTAATTAATTGATTTTGAGGTAGGGTCTCTCTGATGTAGACCAGGCTGGCCTTGAACTCACAGTGACCCACCCGCCTCTGCTTCCCGAGCGCTGGCATTAAGGTCCTGTGCCGCCACGCCCGGCTCACCTTTGAGATGGGTTCTCCCCATGGCCAGGCTGGCTGGCCAGCGGGTCCCAGGGGTCTGCCTGCGTCCTGCTCACCAGCACAAGCACCACAGGCGCATGCTATATATATAACGTGGGTCTAGGGGCTGAGGTCAGCCCGCCTCCCCGGCTCTCACCCTCGTCTTGATGTTCTTTGCCCGGTAGGCGTAGAGCAGTGTGGTTCTCGACTCCTCGAAACTGCTGCTGGCCGGGCTGATGTGGGCGATCATCACTGTACGGCTGTTGCCCCCCAGGGCGTCCTGCTCGGTGGGAACCACAGGGTTGGGGGAGCCACGTGTCCCCACCTGACCGTGGCCCAGCCCTCCAGCGTCACCAGAGGTCTGGGAAGGGCAGCTGATACTGGGAAGCAGAGCGGGGCTGTGCCTGAAAAGGAGGCCCTCTTGATAGTGTGGGGCCTGCTCCAGACCCTGCCATCTGACGCCGCTTTGCTGAGAGCAGGTTTAGCCAGGAGAGCAGCGGAGAGACATTTATTCACCGCTTGCTTACTTATAAGCAGCATCCAGCTTAGCAGAGAGAAAAGTTTCACAGGTGGCAGCTGCCCATGACGGGACTGGCAGCCTGGGGAGGTAGTGAGCTCCCGTGACTATCCTCGCATGCAAGCGATGATAGACTATAGGCAGAACGGTGACAGGGAGTCAGGCGGTGGCCATGCACAGCCTCTCAGGGCTCTCAGCCTCCGTGCTGACAGTGAACTCCTGGAAGACCATGCCGCTGTCTCCAGCTGGGGGGCCTACCTTCAGCAGGCGTGTGAGCTTGCTGTCACGGAAGTTCACGTACTGAGCACGGCTGCCGCCCTTCTCGCTGAGGGCGTTGATGCAGTTGCCCAGGGCCAGCAGGGAGCGGTTGATGTGTGCCCCCTCCTTCATCCTCTTGCCTCGGTTCTGGGTCTGGGCAGGGAGAGGCCAGGCTGAGCAAGGACTGAGTCCCTTCCCCCTGGTACCTTCCCTTCCCCATTCCCAGGGAGGAAACTGAAGCCCGGAGGGGTGGGGAACGGCCTACTGCCCTGATGCTGAGGTCATGAGTCCTAAGCACTGGAGACCCCTTGACAGAAAATCACTAGCAGGGACTAAACAGCCATTCTCAGGGATCTACGGCTGACTGGCAGGGAAAGAAGTGAAATAAGCGATTGGAGCCCAGACAGTGCTGCTCATACCAAAACACAATGAGTGGGGTTTGCCTAGGAAGTCCCCACCTCCGACCTGAGACTTACTGTCTATCCTGCAGGTCCCCGATGGCCCGCAGCCCGGCACCTGCTCTCTCCAATGCAGCCCCACTACTTCCGCCAACCCACAGACTCTTTGGCGGTCACCCGCCTCGTACACGCTCAGGGTCGTTTTTTCCGCTGTCCCATGGGATGGAATGCAAGCTCTGGGAAGTCACCCCTGTCACTGGGCCATCTAGACACCTGCCGGCATCTGGCTACAGCAAGTGCTCAGTGCATGAGCAGGCAAAGATGTGTACGCAAGCCCGCAAATACATCCAAGCCCCGTATCCACCTGATGGCTCACACCATCCGAAACCCCAGCTTCATCAGGCAGCCTCTTCTGGCCTCCACAGCACCAGGCATGCAACTGGTACACAGACATATATGCAGGTAAAACACCTTATAGGTAAAATTAAATAGAGCAGTCTGGCTGAATGGGCTCTGCTGGCTTCAGCCGCTCGGCCTCCAAGGGTAGGGCCAGCGGGATAAGCACATGAACAGGAGAAGGGACAGAACAGTAGCCAAACCAGAGGACAGACCACAAGGCAGGGAGAACAGTGTGGAGCCAGACCTCCCCAGGATTGAAAGATCAGATTGGATCAAACTGCTGGCCTCAAACTCACTACATAGCTGAGGTTGGCCTCAAACTCCCGATTCCCCGATTCTCTGGAGTGCTGGGATTATATACATACACTGCCACACTTATTCTACAACAGCCCTAAAGATGGAACCCAGGGCTTCGTGTGTGCTAGGTGAGCCCTATCCAACTGAGCTGCATCCCTAGAACCCTTATTTTCAGATGGAGTCTTGCTATGTCATCCAAGCCAGCCTGAAACTCACAGCCCTCCCGCCTCGCCTCAGCCTCTCCGGTGCTGGGATGACAGGCAGGCATGGTGCCGAGCTAGAATAAGGCAAGGAGGGCTATGGCTGTGGAGCCTATGGGCATCGCTGCCTGCTCTGTGCACTGAGGGGGGGGGCAGGAAATGCCGCTTGCTGGTAACACTGGGTCTGAAAAGGCCTAAATCAAGTCCTCCTGTAGCCTTCCCTGAGCTGGGTGCCTGGCCGGAAGCAATGCCTGGGCCATAAGGTAGCATCCAGGAAGCACAGTGGCAAGGGCAAGGGACCCAGAAGCTGGGAAGAAGCCATAGCAATGCCACCTTTTCTGTCATGGACCTTGTCACCCACCTACCTGTTCACCTATTTTTTTGTTTTATTTTAGGGGTTTTCTGTTTGGTTGCTTTTGGAGACAGGGTTTCTCTGTAGCCCTGGCTGTCTTGGAACTTGCTCTGTAGACGAGGTTGGCCAAGAACTCAGAGATAACTGCCTCTGCCTCCTGAGTGCTCAGATTAAATTAGGATTCTGCCACCTAAGCTAGAGAAATAGCTCAAAAGCTAAAAGCACTGGCTGCTCTTCCGGAGGTCCTAAGTTCCATTCCCAGCAACCATGTGGTGGCTGGCGACCATCTGTACTGAGATCTGACACCCTCTTCTGGCACACAGGTGTACATGCAAATAGAGCATTCATACACATCAAACAATTAAATAAATCTTGCAAAGAAAAAGAAAAGGTGCGCGTCACCACTGCCGGCCTCCTCAGTAGACTCTGAAAGCACAGGTCTCCCTGCATACTGCTTTCTGATTACATGTGACACCCCAACACCTAGGGATCCCCAGGCCCAGGATGAACCCATGTAGCACCTTCAGTAGGTGCAGAATGAGCTTCCTGCTGCAAGGGAAACACAGGCTGAAAGCATTGGCTGCCTGCTTTCCTTACAAAGTACATGCAACATTGCATTACCTCAGGCACCTCTGTGTGTGTGTGTGTGTGTGTGTGTGTGTGTGTGTGTGTGTGTGTGT